CTCGAACCATCGAGTTGACAAACTATGACAAGCTCCCAGCAGGACAAAACGCAATGGTTGCCGTGATGAGTTATTCCGGGTATGACATTGAGGATGCTCTCGTCTTGAATAAGGGGTCAGTAGACCGTGGATTTGGGCGCTGTCAGGTCTTCAGAAAGTATTCGGCGAACCTCAAAAGTTATTCGAATGGGACGAAGGATAGACTCGTTGGTCCGACGAGAGAAAACGGAGTATCGATTCGGAAACACGGTCTTCTGGACAATGATGGCTTGGCTGCAGTTGGAGAGAAAGTCAGTCCAGGAGAAGTATATATAAATAAGGAGACACCAGACAATGCGCTTTCATCCGGCATCACTGGCTCTGATGCAGGTTTACCCGTGAAGTATAATCCCACGCCTCAGACCTACAAACTCCCTGATTATAGCTACATCGACAAGGTGATGATATCTACTACCGAAGGCGAGAGCCAGCTGATCAAAGTTCAAACTCGGCAAACTCGACGGCCAGAAGTTGGTGACAAGTTTTCATCTCGCCACGGACAGAAAGGTGTTGTAGGAATCATTGCGGAGCAGGCAGACATGCCATTTACGGACACAGGCTTGGTCCCTGATATCATCATGAATCCTCATGGTTTCCCATCTCGAATGACTGTGGGCAAGATGTTGGAGCTCGTTGCAGGAAAGGCTGGCATTATTTCTGGCCAGTTTGGCTATGGTACCCCTTTTGGTGGCAGCCCTGTCGAAGAGATGTCTGCTATCCTTGTGGACCACGGGTTCAGCTATGGTGGAAAGGATTACTTGACCTCAGGTATCACCGGGGAGCCCCTTACGTACTATGTTTTTACCGGCCCGATATACTACCAGAAACTCAAACATATGGTCCAAGATAAAATGCACTCACGTGCCCGTGGACCTCGAGCGACGCTTACCCGCCAGCCCACAGAAGGTCGATCTCGAGATGGAGGTCTCCGCCTAGGAGAAATGGAGCGTGACTGTCTGATTGCGTACGGTACAAGCCAGCTTCTCCTTGAGCGGTTGATGATATCGTCCGACCGTCATGAGGTGGATGTTTGTGAGAGCTGTGGATTTATGGGCTATTCCGGTTGGTGTCAGCGCTGTAAGTCCTCTGTGGGGGTGGTGAAGATGGTTATACCATATGCGGCCAAGTTGCTTGTGCAGGAGCTTTTCAGCATGAATGTCGTAGCGCGGTTAAGGCTGCAGGACGAGTTCCCTGAAGATCGAGGCATGTAGCATGTTTTATCGTAGCGACTTTCAAGTTGGCATATTTTTTGGGATTTTTGCATTAACGTGGGTTCGATTGACTACTGGGACAAAAAAAAAAAGAGAGAGATAGACATCCAACATAACGAGTGTTCGCAATGTATATTAGTGAATGACATACATCAGTGATAAGCAAGCGGACGAAATCATCGAGTCTACTGCGCCTCCTAACTAGGCAGTGTTTCTGTCTTTACTTGGCAGCATCCATCTTCTGCTTTGCGAGCGATGCAACACTCTGCACATCCGATTGGGTGATGCTTCCAAACTGCTGTTTCCAGAACTCCCAACGTTCAGGGCAAAGTCTTGCCTTGCCCTTATACAAGCTTCCGGCAGCGAGTGGCTGGCCTCTGTTTGGCTGCTCCTCTGTTTTCGCTGCTTCTTCCTCTTCTGCCTCTCTGGCAGCATCACCCTTTGCCTCTTCGAGTAGGTACTGGCCGCTATACAGCATCCATTGTGCTGCTGCAGCAATGTCACACTTGTGGCTTTCCGCCGCGGTAACCGGCGCCTCTTCAAGAGCAGACCGGAGACTCCAGACGGCAAAGTTGGACCAGTCGATCTGGTTGAGATTCAAGAGGCGTGCTGCAAAGGCGTTCTGGTTGATCCATCGCTCGGCCTCCTCGGGGGTGGGAGCCTTGTCATCACTTGATGGTCCTGCAACCGTATGAGCAGAAGCCAGATCGACATTCTTCTTGTCCAGGGGACACGCTTACCTATCCAAGCCTCTCTCATAGCCGGCCCGAGTAAAGGCAAATCAGCCCACATTTTGACGTTGCTCTGCAATGGTATGGAGATTAACATATTACTTCACTAAAATAGGGGCCCCATTTTGTCTGGCTATCTCTATTGAATGGAACTCACCCCCCAGACCTCAATATCAGTAGACGGCAGCTCAGTCAGCGCTTTAATCAGCTCCACCAGGCGGTCCTGAGAGGCATGGTCACTTGGGATCTGCTTAGCAATCTCGATCATTGAGTCCCAGATCTCCAGAAGAAAGCTCTCGTGGTCTTCATTTGGTTTTCCATCGTTAGACTGGCGCTTATCTGGAGTCAAGTCGTCAATCTCCTTGGCAGCAGCGGAAGGAGCAGTGCAGCTACCAGGCTGCAGGTATCCAGTGAGAACTTCGAAGAGCTTCCTATGGACGATCCAAGGTTCACCATCTTCAAGAGATGGGAGACGGAGAGAGAGAGGTGCCATGTTGTCGTTCAGATATGCTATTGCTGCTGCCTGTACAATCAGAAAACCAGATGGGTGGTGGTTCGATAAAGCATGCAGCGGGGTAGTTGTTATATTCTTTGGCACCCTTGAGGATCGGATCACTCTTTAGTTGACTAGTAACTGGTTTTCTGTATGTTTTCTGCTCTGTCTGCCTTGCTGGAGTGGGGAGAGGCCTGGCACCTACAAGTGACGACTGAACATCGACCAAGGGCGCTGTGACGTGACGTGGCTATTGGCTGCGGATAGTCGTCTCCGATTCTTGGCCAGTAAAGTCGACCGGGCGCAAGGAAAGCGGGAGAAAGGTGTTTTTCGTCGGATGGTAGGCATTGGTTAACTGGACAGAGGCCAGAGTGTCCTTTAGCTGTTCTCTGGCTGTCTTCTAGCTTGTTCTTCTGGCTTGTCACTGGCATCAGTATCAACGTCTTTATCAAAGGGAGACCTAAGGGGGGCGACAACCACTTTGAGACCCCCCGTGGGTTTGGTTAAGGTTCGGGAGGGGAGTTTAAAAACGTTAAATGCGCTTATATACACACTCGCCCGAATCGGACTGATTTCCTGTTTAAGAACTAGATGCTGAGATGCGGTGAGATCCTATTTCACCTAGTCAACCGCATATACGTAGCCGGGAGGGACTTTTTGCTCCGATTCGTACCTGGATCTCTACTCCTACAACTATCTACCTGCTGATATATAAGTACCGAGAAGCTATGATGGCCTGTCTTACATAAGACGGCCCGATAGGGTGGTTGGGAAAGCAGGAAAGGATCAAATAAGGGGAGTAAACAAGAGGATTTGCCACAGGTCTAGCAATGCCCGCATGAAGTACGGAGTCAAGAGTAAATAAAAGATAATTTAATCATAATAGTTATAATAAGTGGCCAATGGAAAAAAGGGAGCTTGTCCGGAATTATGTCGAGTTGTGCATCGCGCATAAGCTTGAGCATAATAAGTATCGCCAAGTGAAATAGTTATGCCAAGAGATATTCGACCTGCTTATCTAATGGGATATTGTGGCTAGTGAAAGCGAGAGCCCGATGGGAAGCTCAGATGGCATCAAGTCGAGCAGCTAACTAGCTAGCTAACATTAACTAACCAGTTACGGAATTAACTAACTACGTGCTTACGAAGTAACTTGTTAGTTAGTCGTGACGATCCTAAACTGGCGTCGATCAAACATCAGCCCACGAACCGGGCTGTCTACGGGACCGGGGAGATAGCAGCATGGAGAGGAGTACTCCGTATTCTTCTTCCTTCGGCTGCAGTTACTTAGATATCTTGGAGCTGCTGGCCGAACGCCCCGCTATAATGGCACTGGTCACCTTTGAGGATCTGGAGACTGGCCAACGGTGTGTTAGTGCAGAGATCTGATACCCTATACATGCTACAGGACAGGTTCCACATATCACTATAGAACACCATTTTACAGGCTCTGTGAAGAGGATGTGGTATCCCTGTGCAGATCTTTCTCTCCTTCTTCGAAGCCTCCCGGGGAATACCGGTCGACCTACCTACGGAGGTTTAACGCTGCCCTGACGGATCAGCTAGCAAATACACAAGCAATTCGTTTGAATTCTGGACAGTTCAACAATTCACCGTCTATTCTAACAATATGTGGATTACAGCTCCTTTTATCCTTTTGGCCGTTGGAGAGGAGAAATGATAGTTAATCTACATCCTCGACAGATCACTCCCTCTTTCAGTATCAGGGCCCATCTTCATCTTGGAAGAGAGGGCATATCATGTTATTTTCCATGGCTACGAGCTAGAAATGACCAGAAAATTTTTATCTCGGCCGTCACTTAAATCTGCAGTCGGGCTTCAGTTTAATAGCCAAGACCAAGGCTGATATCCTGCTGGAGTCGTCAAGTTGCTGCAATCCTTCATTGCCATGCCCACCAGGTTAGATAGGTATCCAGCTCCCTACTCACTTGGGTAACCTGGCTTTTACCATACTTCGGGATAACAATCCAACTGTCAAAGCCAAGACAACCAACCGGCCAAGGTATCTTACAATTGGACATGGCAATCCGACTGCTAGATAAGATGTTTTCTCATACCTTCGTAGTCCGAGAAATCTGCCTAGAAATTTAGACATGCTCCTACATAGAACATGTATCATGCTCTATCTAGCAATTAAGCTCATTTGGACCACCCGATTCTCCTTGGAAACCCTATCTCTCTGTCCCTAATTAACCTGCGATCTGCCCAAAGACGATGCAAATCTTGCATCTACCTATTCATTCAGATGACTGCCCAACTGCGACATAGTGCCTGGCAAGGTCTTCTGCATGGCCAGATGATTGTTCGAGCACACAATCCTAGAGATTATCGAGAAGAATGGGAAAGATACGAAGAAAGATGTCTATATAAAGAACCCTTTGTCCTCCAAACTAGTCAGCTTATATCCTCTCATCAACACACAGATCATCGAACGCAACAAAACAGCATATTAACACAGCTCAATCCACTATACGAAACATCTTCCACAAACCAACTCTCGTCAAAATGGTGTCCTTCAAGGCAATTCTCACCCTCTCCCTGATTGGCGCTGCATTTGCAACCCCCATTGAACAGCGAGCTGCAGAGCCCGTTGAAGACTCTGGCGCAGTTGCAAATTCCCCTGAAGGAAGTGGCATGGACCTCGGAGGAACAGACCCAACTGCAGATGCCATTGAGGAGCGCGGCCTGCTTGTGAGAATCATCCTTCGTCAGCTACTCAATAACAAACAGTCAGGACTGACAATTATATCCAGCACGTCCAATGCCATAACGTGGCTCTCCCGGCCGCCGCGCAGGTAATCGATATTGCAAACGCTAAATGGCAACTTGGCCACGCTCCGATCGAGACAGGCAGGTCTGGCTACCCTCACGACTTCCTGAACCTGCAGCACTTCCGCTTCCCTAGGCGCTGCAGGGGCAGGTCTCTCCGCGAGTACCCGTCTTCCAGCAGCACCATAAAGTATACAACTATAACTCTCGCCCCAAAGAGAACCCTGGCCCCTTCCGCCTCATTGCTACTAAGGACAGCCGACATTTCTGCGGCATCATCTCTCATGATGGAATTGGTCACAATCCAAACGCTGGACTCTTCCACCTCTGCAAGTAGATGTATCTCTTGCCACACATTCCGATTTCGAGTCCTTTGACGCACAGCTGACTTGAATATCTAAGTGGTGGAGGATCTAATGATGTCTGAAGTATTGTGGAAGATTGAGATGATTTGTCTGGAAATGCTTAAAAGTTTTGACTTTAATTAATTAAAATACCCTTCAATAAGAGATTATAGTGAACCTTAGGAATAGCTCCGCATTCTCATTAAACACCCGAATAAATCCGTTTAGCCGAACAAAACCAATTCTTCTATGTATACTCTGGATGCACACTGACAATTCCGCTATTCGATAGCTTCTACATACTCCACTCTTCTATAATTTCGCTAGATCCAACCAATAAACTAGTAGAACGGGTATTATTGCGGCCATCACTCGTTTGTGTCGATTTCCCATACTCGTATGGCTCGACAACTGTTTCAAATCGCACGCAGTCAATCGGGTTCAAGTAATTTCGGGACAATAACCCCCCTGCGCATCGGGGACTGCTTGGATATGTAGCGGAAGCCTCAAGTAGTTTGCCGGTATATAAAGAGTAAAGCTGTACCGTCGACAAATCGGTTGCTGTACCCAACCTAAGTTAGCATAGAGCTCATCAGGGGCTTCTAGGAAAAGCGAGACCTACCACAGGCCGCAAGCCCAAGTTCAGCAGAAACATCCAAGTCGTTTAGTGTGCTATAGTTGATCTCGCCGAACCGAAGGTAAGGCGTACTAGATCGGTGACTCCGACTATTTGGATCTAGATGACGCTGGGCAGCTGCTCGAGTGAACCGTAGATCATACATATCAAGCTACGTATTGCATTGTTAGAGCAGAAGCTGTAACTAGGCCCCCATTCCGGTTTGAGGCAAATATGGGTATACGGGCTTGTAAAATCCTTGGATATACTTACCGTATTATCAAACCCGGCAACGAGTACTTTCGACTCGCCCACCATTTTCAGTTTTTTCACGCCATGAGAATGCACCAGTCGTGTAGTCGAGGCAGCGCACCGCCAGTCAGTTAGAGCTACGGCTGAATTCCGCAGACCGACAATCACCTCGCTATTGCTTATCCAGTCAACTGCCATTATATCGGCTGGATAGACATTAAAGCGACCCATTGAGTGCATTCCATGAGCAGAGCTCACAACCGTCAGCTCGTTTCCGTGCCCAATTATGAATGAACATGAATGGGCACCTGGATAGGCGACGGCTGAACAGAAGCTTGCATTTTTCCGCTTAAATACCGAGTAATCTAACGCCCATTGCACATTGTTAGCTAGTCAGTAGTAAGCAAGGACTACTACATCTTTTCGCCTTACTTTGGAACACGCTTCTGCTGCTTCTACCATATATCTCATCAGGCTCAATGAGCTTGCAAACGGCAAATTCGGTGCCTTTCCCGGACAAAAGGCCCTGGGACACCACACTGCATAAGGGTGGTTAGCAGCTGCTTCATCCAGTACAGGCAGATATAATTTGGAAACTCACAGCGCATATCTATCCGTGTTTATAGCGACACTACCAACCTACTGATCGGTTAAGACGCTGCGAAGAAGGAAAAAACCATGGAAAACTTACCCAATCGCAGTGATTGAGTTCGATTATACCGTCGTCAACACGCTCGTCATATTTCCATGGCCTCTTGGACGATAGAGGCCGAAACGCACTAATAAATATCCACCATCAGAAATCCTACCCACTGACAATTTAACCAGGAGAAGATAGGCGGTAAATAACTTACCTAAAATTAGACGTGCTCGTAGCTTTCAGAGCTTCAACAATATCCCGCGTTAGCTATGCGCATTTGATCCGCTGGGGTTTAGCCCACGCACATACCGGTAAGTATGATTCCGGTTTTCGGATCTCGCGCAAACTCATGACAATACTGTCTTCCCCTGCGGCTAAGATTAACCAGCTCTCGGCGCTCCATAAGACTGGCGCACGTCATAGCTCTTTGGCTAAGGGTATCTTTACTCGGTACTCTGCATCGACCTGCTTCCTGCTCGACTCCAAGGACGCCAAGCATAGGACTATAAAGCATTTTCGTCCTCTTCACCCTTTCAAGCCGTGTACGCTCATGATGTGCGACCTTTTGCCGCTTTTTCTTTTGTTGGTTGTAAGTAGGTTGTAGTGCGTGATGCTGGAGTGTCGGGGGCTTACCTTGGACTGTGTCTCGCGTTTATTTATCTCAGCATTCGTGTATTTCGGCTCACTTTGACTTTGGGGTGTATGGCCGGGTTGTATCTTGAAGTACTTCTTCTTTTCAGTATCTAGGGTGTTGTTAGAGCAGTCTACCCGAAAGCCGATTAAACGGTCCTGTCCATCACTTTGGAGAGCCGAGTGGGTATAATATAGCATTTCCCTCTCATTTGCCTTGCTTAAACCAGATGGAGAGTAAGGAATACGACAGTCCGACATACCATAGTAGAATCCGGGTATTGGTCTCATGTTTATGGTACGGATATCATTTCTGAGGTGCCTAGACTTTCACCCTCCTATAAAACCGGATAAATATGGCTATAATATCCTAATTTAATAGACAGAAGGGCATACGGGCCTGTAAAACGACTTTTTAATGCCCTTGATATATCCAGGTAGGGGTATCTTGAATGTTGTAGGTGGCAAGCAAGTTGAGAGAAACCTTCAGTTTAGGTTATCCAAGATTTTCTCGGCGCATTTTAAGCCGCAACTCTTGGTTCCAGCCGCCGGCGCTAGTTACTCACCAACTAGATCGAATAGAAGATAAATTAACGCTTTATAAAGCCGCATAACTGCTAGAACAGATGCGCGAGTGATTCCTAAGCGACTAATTATGTTGAATCATACGTTGAGTAGAGATTTTGAAATAATATGACGCAACTAGGCAAAAATCCAGTGTGAATACGAAACATCCATCAAGGTACTCCGCGATCAGCAACCAAATGGCCTGACATCCACCGAACGCTTCAATCTGTTCTCGCCGCACACATAGGGCTCTCCAGCAGCCTCCCTCGCCATATCATTAATCCACCTGCCATGTGGCTTACACTTATCGCCCTTCGACATCGAGCTGGCCAGATAAAGCCACGACAGGATATTACCGACCGTTGAAACCTCATCACTAACACTATGCAGAGCATACGCACTCATACGGTCATACAGCTCGTGGTCCGTCCATAAGTCATAGAGGTGTTTTGCCACTGCGTCCGTATCGCTGACTTCAACCAGGTATCCGTTCTTGCCATGCTGGACTTGTAGCGGTATGCCACCTGCCTTGGTTGCGATGACGGGTTTACCTTTATGCAGGGCCTCGGAAACCTTGACCTCGAAGCCTTCGCGGGTGGATAGTTGCAGGGCTATTCTGGCTTTTGAAAGGACGACGTTAAGAATTTGGTCGGATGGAGGGATGTGGATGACGCATATTTTCGATTTGAGGTGGGCGAGGTCGCGCGATAGATACTCTATTACCGAGTCGTAGATGAGGGCGCCGTCTGGGTCGTCAACTGAGCCGTGACCGCAGATTAGGAGCTTGGGGGTAGAAACGTCGGGCACGTCTTTGATGAGGTCGTGGAATTTGGCGTAGGACTTGAGAACATCGAAGATGCCTTTAGAAGGATCGAAGCGGGCTACTTGGACGATATATTCATCTATATTCATTTATCGGTTAGAGGAATGTATTGGTCTCTAGAGGGGTGATGTGCTTACCCTGTGGATAGTCAATGGTGGTCATGCCTATCTCCCTGCATTTACCATTGAACACACGACCGTAATATCCCACATCCCAATCATCCATGGACTTATTCAAACCATCAAGCCTGAGCATATTAGTATGCATTCCAACACAATGCAAAACGTGAATAGAACTCACCAATCAGTAGCTGCAGGAAGATATCCCACAGACTCCTTGGGAACCGTACTAGGCACAAACGCCTCAACGGGATGGCTGATAAACAAATCGGCCTGACGGATACTCTCCCAGAAATACTGCCAGCACTCTTCCTGCGGCGAGCCCGGCTGATCAATCAGATCGCTTCGGATCTGTATATGACTTCTGTATATAACAGGCCTGTTGGGAGTCGCCTTTTTAATCAGGGGTATCAAGCCCGGCATCTGCGGGTCGTCGATGATGATTATATCCGCACCTCCCTTCTCAGGCGGTTCAAGGGGCCCTCCCTTACCGAACCAGTATCGATTTGCATTCGCGAATATCCAGTCCGTTAGGTCTCGTTTATGCTGATCCGTTAGTCGTTGGTCAGGCGCAGCCACGCCCTGCAGAATGTTATGGTTGTTCTTGGTGATGCGGAATACACCTGGTCGTGGTCGTGGCACGAACCTAGCCAACCAAGTTAGAATGGAAACGGGAACATAGCGAAAGGCAATTTGTAACTAACCACTTGATGTTCGTTCCAAGGGCATGCGAGAACCTGACGAGAGCATGCCTCATCAACGCCACGCCTCCCCCTTGCGGTGTACTGCTGAAGAAAGCAACCTTGACATTCCGCTCTTTCATATCAGCCGCATACTTCATCACCGCTCTCCACGTACGTTCGTCAACCGTCTTCTCATAGTCGGACAGCGAAGTAAGCACCGCCGTCGACCCGGCGTCAACATCAACCAGTCCCCTGAACCCAACCTGCAGTAACGGCGCCTGGTTAGGTCCAAAGTATCTATTCAGCTATCCATTAGCATCCCGTCAAACAAGGAGTCTGCAACAATGACATACGTAATGCACTTCCTCGCAATGGACTCTGCACGCTCATCCAGAGTCTTCGTCCGCCACAGCTCCATATTAACCCACTCCAACCTCTGCGGACCGTGCGGATCAAGTACGAACGGAACGATGTCTAACTCCGCCCACATCCGCGAGCACAAGGCCGGACACTTCTCAACCAAAAGCGATGGCAGAGCTATTCCAAAGAACTTCTCTAGATGATCCTTCTCGTACGTGCGCAGCTGGTCGATAATGAACTGTGTAATCACCTCCCCGACCTCGCCGGGCTCATACTGCTCAATGGAGAAGTGGTGTTCGCAGAAATCAAGGAAGTAGACCGTATCACGGATCGCAAGGGCAATGCCAATCTGCTTGTCGTCATTCTCAAAAGAGAAGGAAATGCCGCCGTATATTGTCTGCAGTCATTAGCAGGGGAGAGAGAGAGTATCTAAGAGGTTGGTTGGTTGGGCGTACCTCCGACGGCGGTCCAAGCCATGACTTCTTCCTGATGTTTTCTAGAAGATGGTATTTCTGGTATACTGATGTGCGGCGCTGGAAGAGTCTGTTCTGCGAGGTAGCGGCGTCGACTACCTCTGCTAGATGGGGAGTGAAGTGATGCGCCGGGGGCGCCGGATGGTGCGCTAACATGGTCAATCGTCAACCTACTACCAACGTACTACTCAGATAATAGGTAATGATGGTATGTGTGTATAGGTATGAATGGCCTCATGACCGAGGGTATAAATAAATAGACGAGAAGTAGGGGAAGTCGGAGCTGTTGCGTCACTTCTTCCAAGCTTAGCCTAGCTACTGGCCAGGTCAGGTCACCGGGCATGGCCCATGGCCCAATGAGGATGGTAGAGACGTTAGCTAATTAGAGCTTGATGTACATGGTACAATATCAACCTGGACATATCCTGGGGAACAGAGTAGGTATATGGCGACGTTGATGGTGGTTTCGTCATTATCCCGGCGGTTGAGGCATAGCTGCATCATAACGTCCGGGTCCACCATCTATCTGTACGATAGATTGAAAGCCCGCAATGAAAAACACCTTGCATCTAAGTATATGATACAAAAAGATAGCTACTTCAACACCACTCGAGCCAAGATAGATAGGCTCATCCAGCTCGTCTATCCGCGTGGCGAGACGTCGAAGCCGAGAAGCTGAAGTTGTTTCTTTGACGTCCAAGTTAGGTTCGGAAGTTAAAAGAGTATGATTACATAATCACACACATAGAACAGCCGCAAGAAGAGGGAGAAAAGGGAGAGAAAAATGAATACAGTCTAAGAATTAAAACCACACAGGGCATATCTAATAGCTACAAATTAGGGTAATTAAACACTCCAAGGCCCATTCACCAGCCAGAAAAACGAACAGAGGAAAAAGAAAAAGGCAAAAGAAACATAAAGGCAACCCAATCCAGGCATAATACAAGGTATGCATGCATGTATGGTATCCAGTAGAACTTGCCTGTTGCTTTTTATGCACGGATCAAACTACATCACTTCAAAAAAGACTTGCATGCTTGGTATTGGCAAAGGAGGACCAGATTATTTGAATTTTTTCTTTATTTCCGCTCTAAACTGTTTGTTTGTTTGTTAGGCCGGGCCCGGATCCTGCCAGAGTGCGTATATGGGTTCACCAAGCTAGGGTCGTTTGCCGTGCCATGCCAGAGGGGGTAAAATCTGGCCAGCTGTGTCTGTCTGTCTATATGAAGGACAAGCAAAGGGGGAGGGTAAGGGGTGTGTGCGTGAAATTGGTAGTAGTGACAAAGAACAAGAAAAGATGCGCGCAGGGGGGGGTTGTTTGAGCTTTAAACAAGGCAAGAAAAGAGGGAATGCAGCCTCCGGATTAAGATAGCGCGTTTTGGGAAATAGGGGTTATGTTCATTTATGCGCTCTTCTCGTGCTGGGTAGAGACACGTTGGAGGGAGACAACTAGACGAGGATGTTAGTAGCTGAATGGATGCATAGAGTATGTTAGGAGGTGGTGGTGGCTTACCGAAATCTTCGAGAGATCGCTGCTTTTGGCTCTTCTTGGGGCTCTTGCCGTGCATCATGTTGTCGAAGCCAGTGGAGCCCTGGAGGAGGTAGTAGATACCGCCGAGAACGCAGAAGACACCAAAGGAGAAGACCCAGACACGGACGACGGCGACGATGGAGGTCTGACCGCCAACGAACCAGCCGAAGATGGTGAAGAGGGTGGCGATGATGTCAACTACGAGAATAGCACCAGACAACTGCCAGGATGGGATGGAGGACCAGAAAGGACCGTTGGCACGGGTGATGAAGATAAGCCAGTTCTCGGTGAGGGAGATCTCGAGGAAGAGGACGGGGTCGATCTGACCGAAGTTCTGGACGATACCGCCGTCCTTGCCGCCGACGAGCAGAGTGGTGAGGGTGATCCAGGTTCCGATGGCGAGGATGACACCGAGAAGGACGGACATACCCCAGAGCTTGGGCAGGTTCCACTTGACGGGGGTCTTGGAGAAGGGAGCGTTGTCGTAGGCGATGGCCAAGGTAGCGATATCAGCGAAGATAGCGATGAAGACGACAAGCTGGAGGTTGAGAGAGGTGTTGAGGATGGCGATCCAGAGACCCAAGAAGATCTCGAGATGGAGAGACAAGGCGATACGGTAGACGACGTAGGCGTACATACGGTGGAAGATCTGGCGGGAGGTCTTGAGGGCGTCAATGATGGCAGAGAGACCGGGGGCAAGGAAGACGA